CTATAAGATTTGATAAGTAATACTATATTTTACAATATATGTAAGAAACACAAAATTCTACCGTCTTGTTACCAGAGAGGGGCATCTCAAAATGCAAAAAATTAGCAAATTTTACTATTTTATAGAGTATTACAAAATATGACGTACACAATGGATTCACATGAAAACATAATAAAAATATTGGAGATATCCTCAAATTTCTATGTTTTAAATTTCAAGAGCGTATGTTTATTACTTTTTCTTTAATGATATTTTTATTACCCCTTTCTTTAAGCGCTACAGATTATCATAACGTCAAAAACACACTGCAACGACGTCAACCTACCTATCAATTGCAAAATCGCTTAAAAATCAGTTATATCAAATTGTAATTACATTTTTATACCTATAATTTCTTAATTTTGTTTAATTTTAATAATTAAGCGAAAAAAGTTGCATTAAAACAGTAAAGACGCTTCATTTTACTAAGATGCGCGAAATATTGCGCAATGGAAACTATAGTCGGCCCCCTTAAGGAAAGGCAAATAAAGGCAACAGCAATGCATTTCCTAGACCTATATAGTACATGTATCACATTATAAGGGTAAACTTAATTGGCGCCTTTGCGCTTTAAGGGTGTCAATTGGGTCCTTTTTGAAACTTAAAACCGTTAAAGGCGCTGTTGTGCCATAGTGCTCCGGGCTCCCCTAAGTGACACAGTTCCTAGTTTGGGCCCTAGGAGCTTTCCCTAGACCAGAAAAGTTTCTGTATAATATCACATTATAGGGGTAAACTTGGCGCACTGGCACCTAGAAACGGTGTCAATGGGCTCCTTTCTGACACCAAAAAACCGTTAGAGGCGCTCTTGCGCCAAAGTGTTCCAGGCTCCCCTAATTGGCACATTTCTAGTTTAGGCGCTGGGCGCTTTCTCTAGACCTGTATAGTATCTGTAAAATATCAAATTATATGGATAAACCTGGCGCCCTGGCTCCTAACAACGGTGTCAATTGGGTCCTTTTTGACATCGGAAACCGTTAGAGGCGTTCTTGTGCTAAAGTGTTCCGGGCTCCACTAAGTGGCACATTTCTAGTTTAGGCGCCTGTTATTTTTCTTTAGACCTGTACAGTATCTACATGTATATAATATCACATAAACTTCGCGCCCTGGCGCCTAGAAACGGTGTAAATTGGGTCCCTTTTGACACTGGAAACAGTAAGAGGCACTCTTGCACCATAGTGTTCCAAGCTCCACTAAGTGGCATTATTCCTAGTTTGGGCGCTAGGCGCTTTGTCTAGACCTGTATAATACCTGTATAATATCACACTATAGGGGTAAACTTGGCGCCCTGGCGCCTAACAATGGTGTAAATTGGGTCCCTTTTGAGACCGGAAATCAACAGGGGCGCCATCGAGCCCCAGTATCTCAGGCTCCCCTAAGGGGCACAATTCCTAGTTTGGGCGTCAGCCGCCGTCTCTAGACCCCTATAGTACATATATGTATCCGAGAATATAGTTGGATTTGGCGCCCTGGCGCCCAGAAACGGTGTAAATTGGGTCCCTTTTGGGACCGGAAATCAACGGAGGCTCCTTCGAGCCCTAGTGTTCCGGGCTTCCCTAAGTGGCACAATTCCTAGTTTGGGCGCCAGGCGCCGTCTCTAGACCCCTATAGTACCTACATGTATCCGAGAATAGGGTTGGATTTGGCGCCCTGGCGCCCAGAAACGGTGTAAATTGGGTCCCTTTTGGGACCGGAAATCAACAGAGGCGCCTTCGAGCCCTAGTGTTCCGGGCTTCCCTAAGTGGCATAATTCCTAGTTTGGGCGCCAGGCGCCGTCTCTAGACCCCTATAGTACCTATATGTATCCGAGAATAATGTTGGATTTGGGGCCCTGGCGCCCAGAAACGGTGTAAATTGGGTCCCTTCTGAGACCGGAAATCAACAGAGGCGCCTTCGAGCCCTAGTGTTCCGGGCTTCCCTAAGTGGCACAATTCCTAGTTTGGGCGCCAGGCGCCGTCTCTAGACCCCTATAGTACCTATATGTATCCGAGAATAGGGTTGGATTTGGCGCCCTGGCGCCCAGAAACGGTGTAAATTGGGTCCCTTTTGGGACCGGAAATCAACAGAGGCGCCTTCGAGCCCTAGTGTTCCGGGCTTCCCTAAGTGGCACAATTCCTACTTTTGGCGCCAGGCGCCGTCTCTAGACCCCTATAGTACCTATATGTATCCGAGAATAGGGTTGGATTTGGCGCCCTGGCGCCCAGAAACGGTGTAAATTGGGTCCCTTTTGAGACCGGAAATCAACAGAGGCGCCTTCGAGCCCTAGTGTTCCGGGCTTCCCTAAGTGGCATAATTCCTAGTTTGGGCGCCAGGCGCCGTCTCTAGACCCCTATAGTACCTACATGTATCCGAGAATAGGGTTGGATTTGGCGCCCTGGCGCCCAGAAACGGTGTAAATTGGGTCCCTTTTGGGACCGGAAATCAACAGAGGCGCCTTCGAGCCCTAGTGTTCCGGGCTTCCCTAAGTGGCACAATTCCTACTTTTGGCGCCAGGCGCCGTCTCTAGACCCCTATAGTACCTACATGTATCCGAGAATAGGGTATGATTTGGCGCCCTGGCGCCCAGAAACGGTGTAAATTGGGTCCCTTTTGGGACCGGAAATCAACAGAGGCGCCTTCGAGCCCTAGTGTTCCGGGCTTCCCTACGTGACACAATTCCTAGTTTGGGCGCCAGGCGCCGTCTCTAGACCCCTATAGTACCTATATGTATCCGAGAATAGGGTATGATTTGGCGCCCTGGCGCCCAGAAACGGTGTAAATTGGGTCCCTTTTGGGACCGGAAATCAACAGAGGCGCCTTCGAGCCCTAGTGTTCCGGGCTTCCCTAAGTGGCACAATTCCTAGTTTGGGCGCCAGGCGCCGTCTCTAGACCCCTATAGTACCTACATGTATCCGAGAATAGGGTATGATTTGGCGCCCTGGCGCCCAGAAACGGTGTAAATTGGGTCCCTTTTGGGACCGGAAATCAACAGAGGCGCCTTCGAGCCCTAGTGTTCCGGGCTTCCCTACGTGACACAATTCCTAGTTTGGGCGCCAGGCGCCGTCTCTAGACCCCTATAGTACCTATATGTATCCGAGAATAGGGTTGGATTTGGCGCCCTGGCGCCCAGAAACGGTGTAAATTGGGTCCCTTTTGGGACCGGAAATCAACAGAGGCGCCTTCGAGCCCTAGTGTTCCGGGCTTCCCTAAGTGGCACAATTCCTAGTTTGGGCGCCAGGCGCCGTCTCTAGACCCCTATAGTACCTACATGTATCCGAGAATAGGGTATGATTTGGCGCCCTGGCGCCCAGAAACGGTGTAAATTGGGTCCCTTTTGGGACCGGAAATCAACAGAGGCGCCTTCGAGCCCTAGTGTTCCGGGCTTCCCTACGTGACACAATTCCTAGTTTGGGCGCCAGGCGCCGTCTCTAGACCCCTATAGTACCTATATGTATCCGAGAATAGGGTTGGATTTGGCGCCCTGGCGCCCAGAAACGGTGTAAATTGGGTCCCTTTTGGGACCGGAAATCAACAGAGGCGCCTTCGAGCCCTAGTGTTCCGGGCTTCCCTAAGTGGCACAATTCCTAGTTTGGGCGCCAGGCGCCGTCTCTAGACCCCTATAGTACCTACATGTATCCGAGAATAGGGTATGATTTGGCGCCCTGGCGCCCAGAAACGGTGTAAATTGGGTCCCTTTTGGGACCGGAAATCAACAGAGGCGCCTTCGAGCCCTAGTGTTCCGGGCTTCCCTAAGTGGCACAATTCCTACTTTTGGCGCCAGGCGCCGTCTCTAGACCCCTATAGTACCTATATGTATCCGAGAATAGGGTTGGATTTGGCGCCCTGGCGCCCAGAAACGGTGTAAATTGGGTCCCTTTTGAGACCGGAAATCAACAGAGGCGCCTTCGAGCCCTAGTGTTCCGGGCTTCCCTACGTGGCATAATTCCTAGTTTGGGCGCCAGGCGCCGTCTCTAGACCCCTATAGTACCTACATGTATCCGAGAATAGGGTTGGATTTGGCGCCCTGGCGCCCAGAAACGGTGTAAATTGGGTCCCTTTTGGGACCGGAAATCAACAGAGGCGCCTTCGAGCCCTAGTGTTCCGGGCTTCCCTAAGTGGCACAATTCCTAGTTTGGACGCCAGGCGCCGTCTCTAGACCCCTATAGTACCTACATGTATCCGAGAATAGGGTATGATTTGGCGCCCTGGCGCCCAGAAACGGTGTAAATTGGGTCCCTTTTGGGACCGGAAATCAACAGAGGCGCCTTCGAGCCCTAATGTTCCGGGCTTCCCTAAGTGGCACAATTCCTAGTTTGGGCGCCAGGCGCCGTCTCTAGACCCCTATAGTACCTATATGTATACTAGAATAGGGTTGGATTCGGCGCCCTGGCGCCCAGAAACGGTGTAAATTGGGTCCCTTTTGGGACCGGAAATCAACAGGGGCGCCTTCACGCCCTAATGTTCCGGGCTTCCCTAAGTGGCACAATTCCTAGTTTGGGCGCCAGGCGCCGTCTCTAGACCCCTATAGTACCTACATGTATCCGAGAATAGGGTATGATTTGGCGCCCTGGCGCCCAGAAACGGTGTAAATTGGGTCCCTTTTGGGACCGGAAATCAACAGAGGCGCCTTCGAGCCCTAGTGTTCCGGGCTTCCCTACGTGACACAATTCCTAGTTTGGGCGCCAGGCGCCGTCTCTAGACCCCTATAGTACCTACATGTATCCGAGAATAGGGTTGGATTTGGCGCCCTGGCGCCCAGAAACGGTGTAAATTGGGTCCCTTTTGGGACCGGAAATCAACAGAGGCGCCTTCGAGCCCTAGTGTTCCGGGCTTCCCTAAGTGGCACAATTCCTAGTTTGGGCGCTATGCTTTAATAAATTAATCATAGTTAATGCGTCGGGTTCGAGAAATACATTTTTATAGTCGATAAACTTAAAATTTATAAATATGTTTTGTTATTGGCCGCTAGCGTTATTGGCCGCTAGCTTGACTTAGGCACCTTATGTGCTGGGCAAGCGGCTTGCATAATATCTGATTTTGTAATGGATCTGTGACGTTTTCGACCATTTAATTAATTTAGCTTAATATTCGTTAAGGTTAGTATTGATTTATATTTTAAACCCAAATAATCAGCGAGGTATATTGTATGCAGATTGGCAGTTAAAGCAAACATTTGAGGAAATTCGAAATAGTATTTTGTGCCTCCTAATTTATTAGCACCCTGTTGTACAGAGAGGGTAGGATTTTTAATGGCTGAAATCTGAATTACTTTGGAATTTCTGTCTAAATATAGAGAGGGTAGGATTTTTAATGGCTGAAATCTGAATTACTTTGGAATTTCTGTCTAAATATAGATCATTTATTGGGAAGAATTTAGAAAGAATACGAAGTAAAATTATAACGAAATCCAATCAAGGTGAAATCAATAGTTACACAACCAAAGCATTGTAAGTGTAAAGGGAGAGGCAAAAAATGCAGCGGACCAGACCAGGATTCGAACCTGGGCCCCCTGAATCTCTAGTCAGGTGCTCTACCAACTGAGCTGACTGGCTACTATTGATTGAACTCATCTGACTGCTCCATTCCTCCCTCCTTAAAGGTCTTAGTCCCCTGAAAGACACCATTTCAGGGTTTTCCCTGGCAGCCTCTCACTTGTCACTTCTTGGCCATAGCATGGCACCAAATGTAACAAAAAGGGTAAAAAATGTAGTGGACCAGAGAGGGATTTAAATTCGGCCCCCTGAATCTTAAGTCAGGTGCTCTACAACTAAGCTAATTCTGGCCACAAGTGATTGAACTCATCTGACTGGCCCTCAGAGGCCACCACCCCAGGCTCTTCCCTGGCAATTGACCTCAGTTTATGTACTACCCAACATCAGCTTGGGCCTTGGAAGAGTTACACTAATTGTAAAGCGGGAATGGCATGACAAATTTCCCCCAGAATTCATTCTATACTTAATGAATATACCGGTACTTGCTCATTTGCATTCAGTCTCTGCAAAATTTTATACTATTGTTCGTGTGATCTTACTAAGTCACCAATATCATTTAATCCCCGACAGCTGAACCCATTTGACTGCCACATAAGTAATCAAGGGTCAAGTTTCTCAAATTTTTAACTTAGTGGTATCAGTCAGAAAGACAAGAGAAAAACTGGATTTTGCGCATAAGTAAACGATTTACAATGATGATAATAATTTTAAATGAAGTCAATTACAACTAATCCTCACACTAGACCATGTAGAACTCCCAAATATATATTAAAAAATTTTAATTGCACTAAGGGCATGAGCATGCCATTAAATAGAGTAAGATTTTGAGTATAAAAGTTTCACCATTGCTTGAGTTCTTTTTCAAAACTCAAGTAATATGTAATTTTGGATGGAAAACTGAACATAATTATAGTGATGACTATTACCAGGGTAAATTATCAGTTCTTGTCACCATCAAACTTAATAGCTTTTAACAGAATTTGAATGTGCTTTTGTTTATATTTTTAACAGGATGGTTCCATTCATAGGAAATATATTATTTAAAACAGTGGTGAACAACTCAACAAAAAACTCTCCCAGTTGCTGGAAATGTTTGTCTAAATTATCTGGACCTTCCTACTTTCATTCTGTGCCAAGGAATTTTCATCATTCAATTAGTAACTTCAGCAAAACGTTGAATAAACCAAGACAAAAGCTTACTTTTTTAACAAACTGTGTAAGATTTCAGTCATCCAAGTCGGATTCTGGTGCAGCAGATAGATTGCGTTATTCTATAGCAGTGGCCATTGTTATGACAGGAGCTACTATTTTATCTGTTCCCCTGTACAGAGTCTTCTGTCAGGTAAGCTCAAGAATTTATTCATTGATTGGTACAATGTATTGTGTTTTGTTTTTCAATTAAATATATTTTGTTAAGATAGATATAAAAGTCAAACCTCATTATCTCAAACTCAATGGGACCATGGAAATACACTGAGATACAATGAGCTTGTGATAATGAAGGTAACTGTCTAAAATATCTAACATGCCTGGAAGACATTTCTTGCAAACAAACACTGATAATGACAGCATTTTACTTTCTTCTTATTTGCATCATGTTCACATCTGTTTTTTTTAATACAGAAAACTGGCAGAGGAGGTAAGGCCGTCAAGCTGAGCAATGAAAAAGTGGAGGCCATGAAACCACAGGATAAAGTGATCACAGTTAAATTTAATGCTGACCGATCCGCTCAGATGCAGTGGCAGTTTAAACCTCAGCAAAAGGAGATTCAGGTACGCCATATTGTCCTGATTACTTTTGTTTAGCTTTTGATTTTGATTAAGAATATATTACTTCTGACATACATATTGCTAAAAAAATGTATTAAATGAATGTGTGTGGCTATGTTCTTTGCAAAATTGTGCTCTCTGTATGTGTGTATCAATTAAACAGGTTAGAGTAGGAGAGACTGCCTTGGCATTTTACACAGCCAAAAACCCCACAGACAAACCCATCATAGGGATTTCTACCTATACCATAGTTCCCTGGCAAGCTGGATACTACTTCAATAAAATACAGGTATTTGAAATGAATGGCATTACATGTACTGATTATATATAATTCTTCTTAGCAAAGTCAGAATTCATGTTTTCATAGCTCATACTGTATACAGGGTTATTTTCACCCCTGTTATTTTCGCCCTTCTGCACCTGTGACCAATTTTCCCCATATTAAATTCGCCCTTCCGTGGTTCTGTTTAAGAAATTATGCTGTTTTCTTTGAATTCGCACCATTCTAAATTCATCCATATATGAAGGGAGCGAATGGGGCGAAAATAAAACAGACGAAAATTTCCCTGTATGCAGTATTTACTAAATATTCTGAGTACATGTCTTTTAAAGAACTGTATTTCTTTTTCAGTGTTTTTGTTTTGAGGAGCAGAGGTTAGAACCAGGAGAAGAGGTAACAGTTTTATAACTTCATCTCTTAATTACAATGTACATTGAAATACATGAAGTCAGAAAAGTTCATTTATGTAAGTTGCCAGATTGCTTTGGGTGTGAAGATCCCCTGTTCTGAGTTGAAGAGTGTCTTGGTCCTTTTATCCCTTTCTCTTCCATTCAGTACTATATGTTGATGTCTTCACATAGAAATAAGAAACAGTTATGATGATTGCAAGCAACATGCTCAATATGTAAAGACACTATTTCCAGTTCAAGAATATGGGTCTAAATCCTGTTTTGACTTCATCATCTTGGGTTGTCTTTCTGTAGTTCTCTCCAGGTGAAATGATAATACATTACTCCCCACAACCGCCAATAATTAAGGGTTTTTTTCTTAAACCATAATGAAGCTAATAAAATAGACATACAGTATAATCCCTATCTACTGCCCCAGGCGCTTAGTAAATTGCTAAAAGGGGGTGGTTATTTTGGTATTCTCTTCATAATATTTAATATCATATTTTAACTTCGAAAAATCTTTTCAAAAAAATAAATAAATTTAAAGAACCACTAAAATAATTTCTAACTTTACTCTAAGTGAAGATAATCTATACAAATTATGTTAAATGATTCATTTTCCACCGAGAAATTGGATAATAGACAAGTGTCATTTTCATTTTCTTCAAATTTTGGCAGACTTTTGATACAATTCTAGATGATTATAATCACTTTACAGGGGACCCTTATTTCCTGACAACTGAAAAAGATCAGGGGGGGGGCTTATAGGGGTAGGGGTGGTTAATAGGGATTATATGGTATCAATGTTCATATTCTTTTGACCAGGTCCTTGTAAACAGGTGACCCTAGCATTAATTATCTTGACTTGTTGATATGAATCTTTCTATCCCCAGAGTAACTTTACTTTTCCTTTATAATAATTAAGTATGAAAAAAAATGTTTGATTGAATGTATGATATGAATTATTTTGACTTCTTTAATGTTCACCCAAATATCTGGAGTTGCCTTTCTTAAGCCTCTTTCTGTCTACTTCATTTACCATAGGCGCTCCCCAAGTAATTCTGTAAATGACGTATGATAAGTATAATATATAGGTCTAGCCCTCTATACTATAAAATAACGGTTATTTTATAGTATAGAGGGCTAGACCTATATATTATACTTATCATACGTCATTTACAGAATTACATGGGGAGCGCCTATGATAAAAACGTTTTAAGAAGGATAAATCCGAAAGCAAGCTTAAAAGTAGACTGAGTTATCTTTCTTTGGCAGCTATGGCCACTGAAATGAGAACGAGCCAGATGTTTTCTACAGATGACTAAGCACAGGACTACATCTGCTTCTGAAATGCTTCTAAATAGAGTTTCATGTGTGTGCATGCATTTAATGATGCATTAAGGCACATGCAGACTCTATAGACAGCTGAATGAAACTGCCAGCTAGCTATGCTCATTTTTTATCTGAATGTGTGTCTATGGCAATAAATACCTGTCTGGGTTACGTTGGGCATACAATTCAGTTCATTGTAGAAACATGCCTTTTGTTTGTTTACAAAACATGCCGAGCAGCTGAAAATTTATCCTGTTTCAATCTGCACTTCTCAATGCCCTTTGACCCCAATAAACCATTGAAGCTGCCCGTACCAAACATTCTAACAAATGCTCATGAGCAGCTCATGAGACTCACATGAGAATCAAGTGAGAATTGCATGCAAATTAGGTAGAATTGGATTTTGCTCATGTGCAGATTGTTAGTCTTTGTTAGGGAGGAAAATACTAACCAAAATGCACATGTGCAAAATTATGCTCACCTCAAAGTGCTCATGAGCAAAAGTCTATTCAATTTGCTCACCTAACAACAGCTTAATTTAAGATATAGCATTGGTAGTGATTTTTCTAAGTTCAGTTTTCTCACGTGAGGAAGAGGTGAGCAAGAGGTGAGGAAATTGGACATAGTCAAAATTCAGTATTACAAGTAGAACCAAAACCAAAGATTTACAAGTCTCAGTTCCTCACATGAGGCTCACGTGAGGAAATACAATACTTTGACACTCTATGTGGTCCAAGCTTTCCCAAGCCTTTATTACAAATTGACCATGTGTTAAGTGTTAACACTTCCTGATGATAGCATCACAAATGATTGGGGACCAGGCAGGAATATCTTAATTTCATGAGCTTCTAATCTTTATCTCCCATCGATTTGGAAATGCTTTCCTCTACTTAAACAACCTGTTGTGTCCCCCACTGTTACTTAAGGTGGGGCAGTATCCAATGAGGAGAGCCAGTTAGGATTTGTGCGCCTTCTAAGACCAGTTCAAAATTTCAATACAAAATGTTTGTGAGGGACATTGAAAGTATATGGATTATACAGTGAAGAACTGAAATATGCTTTTGGAAATACATGTCATCACCATACTGAACTAGATGCCAACCTTTAAAAGTTGCAAATGTATCCAGTATGTCCATGGGATGAGGGAATGATTAAAGATCAATTAGATATTACCATGGTGCAGCCACAATGAAGGAAAATTTCCAAAATATGCTGATCAGAGAATAGGGTAAGTGCTTTGAAATTTATTATCCCCCCTCTCATTTCAGATATTACTAATTAAAAAAAAAAGGTTTATATGTTAATTATCAGTGTATTAAAGTTTGATACATTTAATGCAGAATGTTATCAGGAATTACAGTTGAATTAAGAACTATAAATATGATAAGAAATTAAGGGCGAAACGGTTACACGTGTAAACGGTGACGTTTCGATTACATGCTCTAAACGTTTACAAATTGAGTAAACGTTTACACGAAGGTTAATATCAACATCTATCAGAAAAAAACCTTTCATTCAAATAAGTTGTTTTATTTCATGTTAACCAAAGAAAACACACTCTATGTCTGTTACAAACATTTTTTTCTGTTATTAACATTAACTATCTAGAAACTAATATGGTCTAACATATTTAATTCCGATTTCCGAGTTGTGAAAACAAGCGATGTTTTATTTTATTTTTCCAAGTATATGTTCTAAAATAAATAACCCCTGTTGTTGCTTTTTATTGATTAGAAAATAAAAAGTATCATGCTTATAACGGAATAATGTTGATTATTATACTTCTGTTAAAATGTTTCCTATATAAAGTAAAGAAGGTAAAATAGCTATCTTTGATAGTACACGCATAGCAAAGCTATACCCCGGGGTATAGTTTTTGCTATCCACCCTCGGAAAATTTTCATGCAATTTTTGCCACCAATTTTGATTTCCAGCGATAAATCTATTTATTACTGATGACGTCATAATGACTTCAGTAGCATTGTGACGTCATCATGATGTCAGATTATTCTTGTAGTATTATCTTACTCAAAAAAATTCAAACCTCAAAAATTGTATTATACATCAGTATAATAAAACATTTATCTAATGGTTGCGAGTGGGATAGCTCTTTCATCAAACCCTTGACAGGAACTATTCCTCTCGGGCAAGCCCTCGGGGAATAGTTCCCTGTCGCCGGTTTGATAAAAGAACTATCCCACTCCCAACCATTGGATAAGTGTATAATATACAGCTCTGAAAAATTGAACGTAAACCGGAACCCTCAATGTTATCGCAATATATTTTTATATTAATATCTCGTTTCAGTTTTTGACACTTCCTACTCTTTCGTCGTAAAAACCAAAAACAAAAAAAAAAACAAAAAAAAAACATTAATGACAACTCATACTTACATTATGGTGAAAAAATGGTTTATTAAAATAGTGTTTTGTGAGTAAGTAGCCATAAAAATTCAACACAACATAAAATTCTCCCGTTTAAACGGTAACGTTTCGTTTACTTCTGTTCGTTTAAACGTTTACAAAATTCAGTAAACGTTTCACCCTTTAATGCAGAATGTTATCAGGAATTACAGTTGAATTAAGAACTATAAATATGATAAGAAGATTAGGTCAGAGTGTACAATTCGACAGCCTCTGTGCGGTATTCTATGAATTACATGTATTTAAGTTGCTAATTAAATATTGATGCAAATGATTTTTCTATTGACTGGCTTTTCATGACCAACGGAACCTTGAAAATATACTAACTTATTATAACTTCAAATTTTTTGCAGATAAAAGTTGGAATCAAAGGATCTGCAGATTAATCATGGACCCTAGCTGAGCTTGCTTACATGAAGGAGTGCTGATGTTGACACTCATTTAAAGGAAATGCAAGGAAAAAGAATGGAACAGGATGAATTGATTATGATTCTTATGACCACTGGAATATTTTTTAAAACCCAAGTAATGACTGCCACTCATAAATTCAGCAAAGACAGAAAAATCTACTTTATATAGCCTCCAAGACAACTTAAAACCATCTAGTACTAGTGCAGTCAAAAATGTTGATTGGACATTTACATTGGATGTTCTATGTTAATCTACTAGAAATGGAACTATTGGATGATAATACCTTGATTGATGTGTACTGTACATAATTATAATAATTTAATTTAAATTTTTATTTCATTTTAAGTTTAAAAGATGAAGTTAACTTAACATAATTATGCATGCATCTATTTACATGTACGTGTTTCTCAAGAGTATTTAAAATGTAATTGATGAATCACATTTTAGAATTACATAATTATATAATGTTTGCAATCTGAATTTTGTTCTATTGTGCTTGTTCCAAGTGAGCAATTGTTGCACATGAGTCTCATGAGACTCATGTGAGCAAATATTCTAGGTGAGCAAAATGATTCCTCATGTGAGCAAAAAATGCTAATGTGCAGAACCCCGCTCACGTGAGCATTTCACCTAATTTGCATGTTAAATTGCACACGAGACTCACGTGAGCAACTGAGGTGAGGAAATCTGGTTAGTCCTCACGTGAGCTGCTCATGAGCAAATTGTGAGAATGGTTTGGTAAGGGTGTCTGATTTCTTCTCAAGTGATGGACACCACAGATAAAAATTCCATCTCACGTCTGCATTACCCTGTTGACAGGTTCAATGAGCCAGCTAGACTAGCAAGTACA